TTACTCAACTTTGTACCATCTCTACAGTAGACAACTAATGTATGTTTATTATTGTTGTTCTGTGTCAACCAAATCACAGAAAGTTGTGAGCATATCATAAGGGTTCATCACATGTGTCAAGTTCATTCAAAACCATTTAAATGCCTACTATGTGCCAGGTCCCCTGCTAGGCACTGAGAGAGATATAAAGAAGACATAGGACAGTGCGTGCCTTCAGGATTCTTATAAATGAATAGGGGAGAAAAGGCAGGTACACAAAATACCTATGCCATAAATTAAAATGTGGAAAGTGTATAAAAGGGAAAGATTCACATAATGAGATACCATTTTCAGCTAGAGGGAATGGAGAAGACTTTCACCAAGGAGGTGGATCCCTAGCAGAGCCTTGGAGGAAGGAAAGGCTTTCAAAAAGGGGAGGGAATGAGAAGATATTTTCCCAAAAGGGAACAGAAAGGTGATAGACTCAAGTTGCAGAAAAACATCCATTTTCACAAATGGCCATCATACAAACTTGTTTTGCTTAATTGTTTATTACAAGATTGGGGGGAGTGGGTTAGAAGGAGTGGGATCAGCAGTAGTGATGCAAAAAGAGATCCATTGAAACCTTTTTTTAGATGAGCAGAAGAGAACAGAAGGAAACACAGACAAGCATAATAGTTTTGAAAGTACCATGTTGAATTTAAATACTCTTTTAAAAAGCAAGCTGTACATAACAGAGTTTCACAGTTTCATGTATAATCCTCTTTTATGTCCTACTTTGTATCTGGAAATACTCATGCTTAGGAAGGGGGTGTTAAGCTCAGAATAAGAAAAAATTTAATTTTAAAAAATCAAAAGGAAGGAATCTGACATGGAGGTGTGAACATGTGAACAAAGCACAAAGGTGGGAGAGGGAACTGGGAATAGGAAGGAAATAGGGAGTAGGGAGAGCAGATCAGGGAAGAGCAACTAGTTCAGCATGTGAAAGGGAGCAGTGTTCACTAAGACAAGACAGGCCGATTCATTTAATTCAATCAGCACTGTGCTAGATATTAAGGACGGGCAGCCAGGCGGCACAATGGATACAGCGCCCACTCAGGGGCAGGAAGACTCATCTCCCTGAGTTCAAATCTAACCTCAGACACTTAGTAGCTGTGTGACCCCTGAACAAATCATTTAACCCTGTTTGCCTCAGTTTCCTCATCTGTAAAATGAATTGGAGAAGGAAATGGCAAAACCACTCCAGTATTTTTGCCAAGAAAACCCTAAATAGGGTCATTGACTTTCGTACTCCTTTTTAGCATATTTCTTTAGCCTTAGTGGATACATTCTGTCTAAATTGAAAACAGGATAGAAAATGAATGAGATGGCCTCATAATAATTCTGCAAAATGGGCTGCCATAGACTATTCAGGGGACCTGCCCTGTAGTCCCAAAAACCAGACTGGGAGAAAAAGGAAGGAGACTTATAGATTTGACTTATAGTCACTGGGGCTTCAAACAAAAGAAAAGCTGTCCTCTGGGTGTCTTTGCAAAAAGGCAAGCTGAAGATGCAATTTGTCTCATCTCTTATTTGTATCAGGCGACCCAAACAGTTGTGCCCGAGCTACTGCTGCTGCTGCTGCTGCTGCCACTGCCACATTTGGGGATTTTTTTATGAGTAATTTATCTTTAAAATCTGATGGCTCTCCTGACCTCTTGTGCGGATGATGGAGGGGTTAGGTCAAGTTAGCTGGGCCACATTTTCTCTACAATCTTCTAAAACCCTATAGAGAGACAGAATCTGAGAAGTTGCAAAGCTTGCACCTACCAGCTGGTGCTGCCTGCTGATGAATCCTAGCAGCTGCTGTTAGGTCTCTGCAGCCTCAAAGTAAAAGTAAATGTGCAGGCTGTGTGAGTGGCCAGGGAGGGACAGATGGTGGTACCTGCAGGAGCTCTTGGCACAACGGTGAGCGTACAAAACTGGTGACCCAAGAGGTGCCCTTTGATTTAGGAGACAAGGTAGAAAGCAGAGGTCCACTATAGCTGGCATAGGATTGCCAGACTCGGAGCTAGACAGGATGCTAAAGGTCATCATTTTTCAAATAAGGAAACCAAGGCCCCAAAAAAGTTAAACGATTTGCCCAAGGCTTCATAAGTAGTAAGTGGCAGAGCTAAGCTGCTTAATTTCATCTTTAACTGTTAACTCTTTAGAGAGAGAAGGTAAAGAAATATGAAAATACAATTTGTTCAGCAAGTCACCTGAGTCTTTCTTCCTAAGGGCCAGCTAGATTCCACTTCATTTTACAGAGCTATCACTAGGACAGGGCCACTGGGACTTTGCCCCAGAACAGCTACATTGGGAGGGGGTGATATTCCTCCTCTTTGAAATGCACAGGGGACCACCTAGGAAAAAAGGCCCCATGTTAGTACTCTGAGGTGAGAACCACCACCCGAAGATCAAAACGCCCCTCTCTTGGGGCTGTCTGTCTGAACCACTGAACCAACTCAATGACACAGTACTGAGACAAACTTCTTACTCATTTCCTAGGAATCCATTCCATGTGGGACACTGAAGATCATGACGATGGCTACATGTCCTAGCCTTAGTTCCCCCTCTCCTGTACAACTGAATTTGCTCTGAGTGTCAGATTTCCTTGACAAGCCTCTACTAATTTATTCTATAGTATGCAAAGTACCAGCCATAAACTCCTGATCACAGACAGAATTTTCTAATCATATAATTTGAGGTTGGAAAGGGGCTTTAAAGATATCTACTTCACTCTCCTCACTTTATTGTTGAGAAAATAGTCCTCGAGAGGGGAAATGACCTTCCCAAAAATCACAGAGATAATAAGTATCAGAGTCAGGATTCAAACACAGGTCTTCTGACTCCAAATCCAGTGCTTTGGTCCATATACCATGTTATGCCTCTTAATTCTAATGCTTTCTCTCTTTTAATTATTTCCAATTTATCTGATATATAACTTGTTTGTATATATTTATTTATACATTATCTACCCCATTAGATTGCAACCTCCTTGAAGGCAGGGACTGTCTTTTGCCTCGTTTTGTATCCCCAGCACTTAGCCCAGTGCCTGGCAGATAGTAGGTGCTTACTAAATGTATGTTGATTGACTGCTTGTCTGCTGCATGTCGCTTGGAAGTTGGCTTAGTGCTAGTCCTCAGCCTTATTCTGCCTCCTCATTCCCCCTGACCTCTTCCAACACCGGCACCCCACTCATGTGGAAACAGCAGGATGCCCACTCTTTTCCCTAGGGAGCTCCAGTACTTTCCGCATTTCACAAATACGAAAATGTACAACCACCAAGGAGATTCAAAAGTAGCTGGGAAAAGATGCTAAATTGTTTTGTCACTTGAGAAAATAAGCATCCCAATGCATGAATGGCAGGATGCACAAGGCAGCAGAGTTTGTGCGAAGGACGTTGGATATGGAGGCAGGTGATCAGGGTTTGAATCACATATTTGCCACTTCCTATCTGGGGAACCTTGGCCACCATTTCCTCCTCTGTAAAATCAGATAACCAGTATTTACACTTCCTACCTCATCAGGTTGTTGTGAGAAGAGTGTTTTGTAAACCTTGAAGCCCTATCAAAATGAAAGTTGTCGTTGCCTTTATATTTAACCTTGGCCAAATCTTTACTAGTGTACTCCACTTTGGGCTTCCCCAGGTGGCTTCCCCGGCTTCCTTCAGGTCCCAGCTAAAAATCCACCTCCTATGGGAAGCTTTTCCCAATCCCTCTTAACTCTAGAGCTTTCCCTCTATTAAGCATTTCCAGGTTATCCTGTATATAGCTTGGTTTGTACATAGTAGTTCATGTGTTGTCTTCCTTATTAGATTGTGAGCTCCTTGAGAGCAGGAACTGTCTTTTACTTATCTTGTATCCCCAGAGCTTAGCACAGTGTCTAGTGCATAATATAAAATGTGTATTGACTGAGTTTCAAGCTTCCAGAAAAGCCACAACTGAATTTAACAAACACATCCTAAGCATCTATGCTGTGTGTGTTTCAATATTATTAAAGAGTCAGAAAGTCAGACCTAGGCAGAAAGGTAAAGAAATTAGTATTATTTTACCCAGAGAAGAGATTATGAAGCAAATGAAATATAAAACACTGATATTCCCCTTTTCTAATATTTAAAATAGAATCATAGAGCTCAAGTAAATATCAGTCATCAGACTTATAAAAGAAAAGTGGGGGGCGGGAATATTTTGTATCAAATCCCAGGGAAAACACACACGTTCATTAGCCAAAAGGGAGGCAGTGTGTTACAAAAGATAAGAGTCTGAGAGTCAGAAGACCTGGCTTTGAGTTGGTGCTGACTCTTCTACTTATTAAGCTGTGTCACTATGGCCAAGGCATTTAACCTCCTTGGCCTCATTTTCCTCATCTGTAAAATGGAGATAACATTTGCACATAAACTACCTCAACTGTGGGTTCCCTGAAAAATCATGGCAAGCAAAAAGAGTCCTTAGAGAGGAATCTAGTCTAACTCCCTCATTTTAAAGATAAGGAAACTGAAGCTCAAAGAAGTTGTGACTTACCCAAGGTCACACAGTAATAAGTAACAGAATCTGGATTTGAACCCAAATCCTCTGATGTCAAAGGCATCTAGATGGGGCAGTGGACAGAGCACCCAACCTGAAGTCAGGAAGACTCATCTTCCAGAGTTCAAATCTGGCTCTACACACTTACTAGCTGGGGGACGCTGGCAAGTCACTTCACCCTGTTTGCCTTGGTTTCCTCATCTGTAAAATAAGCTGGAGAAGGAAATGGCAAACCACTCCAGTGTCTTTGCTAAGAAAACCCCAAGTGGGGTCAACAAGAGTCAGACCCAACTGAAACAACTTAACAACAACTCTGACATCAAATCCCATACTTTTTCTACCACAACACACTGCCTCTGTACCCAGGGAAGTTCGCTAGGAAACTGTTTTGCTTACTATTAGGTGCTATATAAATGCAAGCAATTGTTTTCCTGCCTGAATGAACTCATTCTACCTATGTTCTGTATCTTGCAGGATTCATATGGTGCAGCACTGAGTGGACCCTCACTCCTTTCAAGGAAGATTGCTGCATGACAATTTTCGGTATGTTGCAAAAGGTTTGGTTTCTCCTTGTTGAGATATTGTAATGTTGGATAATTAGTGAGAGCATGCCGCAGAACATGAGAACTAGAAGATGGGGATATGAGTTCACTGTGGGAAGCAGGTAGAAAGGAATTTCCTCCCGGTGTGCTCATCGCTACAATGGAAGGAGCAATCTGTCTGGTTTTTGTCTTTATGGCCCCAAAGAGGCATTCTTTGTAGGAAATGTTGACACATACATGTAAATAATAATAGCTAGCAATTTAATAATAGCACTTCAAGGTTTGCTAAGCTCTTTACAAATATTGTCTCATTTTTTATCCTCACAACAACCTTGTGAGGTAGGTACTACTTTTATTCCCAGATGAGGAAACTAAGGCAAAGAGAGTTTAAATGATATGCCCAGGGTCACATGGCTAATAAATGTTTGAAGCAGGATTTGAACTCAGAACTTCCTGACTCAGGTCCAATGCTCTATCCAGTGTCCCATATAGCTTACTTATTGGGGCAAGAGAGTGGCAGAGAATTTAATTCTTTATATTCAGATTATTGTCAGATAGTGTGGATCTAGCCCAAGGGAGAATGGATGTCAGGAATAGAATTTACTCATTTCTCCCTAGGGTATGCTGTTCTCAGTAACCAACCTTTTACTACTCTTCAAGGGGACTATACTAGCTGCAAATTGAGGAGGAACATTTTAAGTCAGTAAAATGATTCTGTTGCAGTTTGGGATGCTAGGAAACCCAAAATGCAAGGGTACAGGGCGGGTCTGCCTCAAAAGAATTTGACCACTCAAGCCTTCTTTCAGTCAGAGTAACAAGGTTTATTATACGTTGATTGGGTGGGCAAGATTTCTAGCAAAACTTCAAATTTGATCAGGACAAGATTGGTTGTTGTTTGTCCTTCATTCTCGAAGAGGACCATGACACCAGGGAAGTGATGCCATGACATGCAAGTGAATTGGATTTAAGTGAGGGAGGGCTGTGCAAAGTCACCAGCCTCACCTTCTCCTCCTGGGCCATCTGGGTCCAGTGGCCAGATATAGATCAGAACAACTAGAGATGGCCCAGGATTCAGTGGGAGACATTGACCTTTTCAAGCTAAGGTCTTTAACAGGTCTCAGTTTGACTGAAGCAACACCCATTCAGTGATTAAGGCTTAATAAGAATTGAGGCAGAGAATGGCCCCTTTACTTAGTCAAAAGGAGCTGCCCACTGGGAATCAAAGTGGAACTGGCCAGTTTAGCAACACAGCCAGCATGCCTTCCTTTCTTCCTTCCTTCCTTCCTCTCTGCCTCCCTCCCTCCCTCTTTCTTTCCTTCCTTCCATTTCCCTTCCCTCTGTCTACATACAGTATCACACTCTTACTTGTGGGTGCTCTGCCCAAAGGGAATGTAAAATTTCAATCTCTGAAAGCTTCTCTTGTTTTGTTTTGCTTTTTGGTGAGGTAGTCGGGGGTTAAGTGACTTGCCCAGGGTCACACAGTTAGTAAGTGTCATATGTCTGAGGCCGGATTTGAACTCAGGTTCTCCTGACTCCAAGGCTAGAGCTCTATCCACAGTGCCACCTAGCCACCCCTTTTTTTTTCTTAAAGACTAGCTTTAACCCAGATCCCTCTGATACTCACCAAGCCTGCCCTTGAAAGAAGAGATAAGAAAATGTACTCCCTTCCCATGTTTGTAGAAGTATAAGAGAGATAGGGTATCTTTCATAAGAGATGCTTACAGATATGAGTGACTTTTTTGAAGACATTTACTGTTAATTTCCCTCCTGATTCTTGTCTCTCAAGGAAGTTTCATCTCTATAGGTCTTAGGAGGAAATAGAAGCTAGTAATCAATAAGCATTTGTTAATTATGTGTTGAACTTTTTATACGAGGCACTCAGGATAACAAAGAATGAAAATGGCATAACAGTCTCAGCATCTGAGAGATGATAATTTTAGGAAATTTTAGAAATAACAGACATTTTTTAAAAAGTCACTACCCCTCCTCATACCTATACTAGAATAGAAACCTTAAACATGAAAATAATTTTTTAAAAAATAATGTTCATTCCTAGATATGTCCCTCCCGCAATGAGCCTTCACTTGTAATAAATTATTTTTTAAAAAGAGGAGAAAATAGTAGTTCTATAATAACAGCCAACACATCAAATGAGTCTGGAAGTGCATGCAGTGTCTGCCACCTGTAATTCCCCACAAGATTGGTACTTTTATACAGAAAAGAGAAAAAAACAGTGAGAAAATTTGGATGGCATTAAGGAATGGCAAGTAGCCTGGGGTGGTCCAGAGGTAACAGACAATTAAAGGCTGGGCTGGGTCAGAAGTCCACAATGAAAGGACAGTTAAAAGGATTATTGAGGAGGATGGGCCAGATGCCTCAGGCAAGCCAGAGATCTGGGCTGCTGAAATGTATGGGAAAGTTCAAGGCAAAGTGTGGGAAAGTTCAAGGACTGAGGGTCTTTTCCTTTTTGAGGTTCAGGTCCCATAAACCCATCAACTCCTCAATGATTGCCCCTATCCTTAAATAAAGGTAATCTTTCTCTTGGGGAATAGGTCAGCTTGAACGAATTTAATTATCATCTCTCTGCAGGTGACTCCCAGACAGATATATCTAGCTCCAGTCTCTCTCCTGAGCTCATCCCTACATCAAGCTTATTGAACATTTGCAAATGAATGTTCCATTGACATTTGAAACTCAACATGTCCAAAACAGACCTCACTATCTCCCTGCTCTTTGCTATTTCTTTCAAAAGCATCACCATGCTTCTAGTCACCCAAGTTTGCTAGATCAAGGTCATCCTAGACTTTTCCCTCTCTCCCTCACCCCTTGTAAGCAATCAGTTACTAAATCTTCTCAATTTGGCCTCTACAACACCCGTTGCATCTTGCATCACCCCTTCTCTCCACTAATGTGACACGAGCTTAGTTCAGGCTCTATTTGTTTCTATATTTGTATTTACTATTCTGTGTGCATGTTGTGTTCTCTGCCCGCCCCCCAACATAAGCCTCTTGAGGGCAACCATATTCCTTTTTTGCTTTTGTATCCTCAGCAACTAAGACAGCGCTTGGAACAGAGTAGGTGCTTGATAAATTCTTGGTGATTAAATGACTGAATCCTCAAAACTGGTTGGAGACAGTGGTGTAATGGAAAGAACCTGATCCTTGGCTCTAGAAGGCCTTGGGTCAAGCTCTACTTCTTAACTATGGGACCTCTCTGCAGTGAAAAGAGTGCGGTTCCAGGAGGCAGAAGTTCCTGGTTCTGGCACAAACTCTCTGTGACCATGGGAAAGCCTCTGCCTATCTCTGGGGCCTCAGTTTTTCTTTTCCATCTCTTTGAAGATGCTTTAACTACTCATCTCAGTGGGTTTTCTCAGTTCTCCTGTTTGTATGTAATTGTTTGCACATTATCTTCTTTCTCATTAAACCCCAAGTTCCTTGAAAGCAAAGACTGTCTCTGCCTTTCTTTGAACCCCAGCTCTTAGTACATAGTAGGCACTTAATAAACACTTGATGACTTGAAGAAAAAAAAAGCTATGTGACCTTGAGCAAATCATTCCTCTGAACCTCAGTTTTCTCACTTGTGAAATGGAGATCATAAGGCCTGCATTCCTTACCTTAGGTGAGAGATGGTAAAAATCAAATGAGTTACTGCATTTCTGGTTCTATGCGAATGTCAGCCACTATTATTCTGAACTGCTATGTTCTCCAGAAGAGAGTCTAATGACCAGCACCCCTGCCCCATTTTCTTGGTCATTAACACAGAATCAACAGGGTAGTTGGGAGAAAATGCTTTGTGAATCTTAAAGTGACAAATGATGCTCAAGGATAGCTATCATTATTGTCATTCTGAGTTCCCCCATCAACTGTCAATCTTTAATATCTCCTGAAGGGATCTTCTAATTAACATTCTTCTAGTATGTAGAATAATGTTGATTTCCATACCTGGTAGCTTTAGGTCATTCGGAAAACAAACTCAGCCTGTGTCTTCATGGAGCAGTCCTTCTAAAATGCACAAACATAGTAGTATGTTATTCCCTTGCCAAGAAATAAATCCATTTCTGATCTGAATAATAATGGTGGTAGTAGTGATAATAGCTAGCATTTGAGGTTTGCAAAGTATTTTACAAATATTACCTTATATTATCTTCACAATAACCCTAGGAGGCAAATTTTTATCACCATTTATAATAAAGAAACTGAGAGAGAGGAAGGTTGTGACTTGCCCAGGGTCACATAGCCAGAGTATTCAGAGATAGAATTTGAACTTATGTCCTTCTGGCTTCAAGTCTGGTTCTAACCACTACATCAAACTGCCTCCTATAAGGTACATAGAAGCTGCATAGTATAATTAAAGAACACTGGATTTGGAGCCAAAAAGGCCCAAGTTCAAACACTGGCTGTGCTACTTCCAATATGGCAGGCAGGTAACAAGCATTTATTAAGTGCTTACTATGTCCAGGGTAATGGTCTGAGCACTAGAGATACAAATAAAAACAAAAAAAAAGTGAGTCCCTGCCCTCAAGGATCTGACATTATATTGGGGGAAGACAACACATGAAAGGAGTTTGAATGGGTGGAGGAAGGAAGAAAGGTACCCACATGGGAGTTCGATGGTGAAATCTGGAAGAATCAGAAGTGCTGCCAGGAAGGAGATGTTTGACCTTGGCCAAGTCACTTACCTTCCATGGTTTCTTCATCCATTAAAGGAGTAATTTGAACTAGCTAACCTTAAGTCTCTTCCAGCTCTAAATCCCATTACTAAGTAACCTCAGCTCAAAGGCTAGAAGAGGTCTTAAAGATCGTCTAGGTCTATCCTCTCATTTTACAGAGGGGGAAACTATGGCCCAAAAAGTTAAGTGAATTACCTAAGGTCAAACATCTAGTAAATGACAGGCCTAATAGAAGAATGTAGGTAATCTGACTCTAAATCTGCTCTGCATTGTCTTGTAGCAATTATTTTTCCTCTTAAAACAATTGCCTTTTTGCAAGCCATGGAAAGACA